GTCATTTCTGGTACCTAAACATACTTCTGGAGTGAAAAAATATCGTTAACCGGGGTCCACTGTATATGTATATGTTTGGACCGTTTACGGGTTAAAAATCAAGAGCCCATAATAAACAATGTAGACATTCCTGGCATTAAAACAAAATTTCTTCTGTTCATTAATCACATTCCCAGGCCTCTCCTATATCACATTTCCTTTCCATTTTGAATTCTTATTCACACAAAAATAGAATATTTTACTCTTGGTCATGGTTTACAGCATTCCAATAATTGAATAGGACCTATTAAAAACCCATAAAACAGACTGGGGAGTGTATTATTATAATCAAAAAGAAGCACTAAACCACAAGGGTCATAGCGCAGCAGGGAAGGATGCAAGGGTATTGGGTAGAAGGAGGGAGAGAGATGATTATTAGGTTATGGAGTGCAGTAGGGCAGTGGACAGTGCAAGGGTAGAGGGTAACAAGACCGAGAGGAGTGCTAGAGGTATCATCATCAGAGTTTGTGTAGCAAATCAGTTGCTGTCAAAAAGTCAATGAGAGAGTCTGGGTTAAAGGAGGGTCCATCAGCAAGAAGGGAAGGTAAAAAAAAGGGCAGTAGAGCGGAGACAATGTTGGAGGTAAATTCTGTGTGCTCGTTGATAGTGGGCAGTCCAACAGAATATGGGTAACAGTAATTGAAACCTGACAATTCTCAGAGAGGAACAGGGCACCTCTCCATGAGATACCCGTGAGTATCTATTTCAGTAACATGTCTTCCATTCTGTCAAATGATACCAAGAAATGCCAATAAAACCATAAAAGTCATCTGAAAAAACACTACAAAGTTGCTATTTTAAACCATATAGTCATAGTTTTGTTTTTCCTGTCATGGTGCACATGTGGAGCAGGATTTTTTAATATAGTGCACACTCACCACACATGCCCCTTCTCTCATATCTAAGCCAAAATTTACCACTCACAGCTTATCTGAGTGAGTTGAGCTCATGACAGGGAACCCAGCCTAAATGATGTACTGTAGGTCTACGTGACAGACAGCGAAAGGGTTAATCAAATTCCTAAACCTAGTAAATATAAATGCCATACACACTGCTGTTCATTCCATATTTTTCAAACAGTATACTGAAATGCTGATGCTGACCTAAGATTGTTTCTGGGAAAACTGTAACAGAACACACAAGCATCTTTGATATTCCTCATCTACACCTTAACTGCTGTTAACTTTATGCAAATAAATGGGGGCTAAAATTGTAGAACAACTTGCCATCAGATTATTATAATTGAATTAAATGCTAAACTGCAAGGGTCACATACCACTTCTTGCAGGTCAACTGAAGCAATGTAACTGAATTCTGAAGATAAATTATAACTCCTTAAATTGCAGTTATACATTTGCATAAAAGTTAATGCTCAATTTTCACCAACCTGTATTAAAACATTATTGAGTTTGATAATTTAGTGCATCCAACATTTATATACAATGTCCTATACATTTCATATTTTTACTATTAGTATTAGTCATAGCTTTACTGCCTAAAAATGCTATGCATTATTATGGACCTTTCCTTGTACAATATATCATGTACTATTAACCTTTCATAACCAATGTACCTTGGGAAATAAAATCCTTATTAATCTGGTAGCATATTAGACAAAAAAAAAAAAAAAAAAAAAAAAAAAAATCCAAGCATAAAAATCTTAAATCTAAGAGGTTTTAGAACTTTCAACTAGGTATATATTTTTTACCTAGATATATATTGCACAAATATTCTTTCAGCCATGAATGGCAGAAAATAAAATATAACATAACCTACAAGATTCAGCATAGGCACCAATATCTATATCTAATGGACAAGGATCATTCTTAGATGAGTATCTTCTCAACTGCAAGTGAAGTTTTACAGAATTTAAAATTAGCTCATGAAAATCACAGAATGTCCTACTTTGTCTAAACTGACCCACAAATGTATCCATAGATTTATTGCATTTTCCATTAGGAAAAAATAGGATATCACTGATCAGTACTCAATCACTTCATTGTAAGACTGCTAACAACAATGCTCGCAAAAGAGATCAACAAGGAAATAAGTTATTGTTTTTAAATAATTAAAAATATAAATAAAAATACTCAAGGGTAAATAAATGCTGTTATATTGATGAACTAGAGAATGTCAGAGGACTGGTATCAACCATATTGCTGATCAAGTATTTTAGTAATACAGTACTGTTTACCTCAGACATTGCAACAAAACTGTTTATTGGAAGGATTTTGAGGTGCTGCATACCTTCTCTGCTGTGGTTTCAAGCACAAAGTGGCAGAAAGAAGATATGTCTCTTTATTGCATTTCTGTCGAGAAAGAATGTTTGGGATAAGCTAGCAGTGATTAAGAGATAAAACTGGTGCCATCAAATTCCACACACCTGTGTAGCAAATATGTCACATCATGTAAGTCACTGGTAATCATTCATTATCACCACACCCTTCAAGGGAGGAGCTTTGATGTTGTACTGGCATAAAGTTAATGGACAAAGCCTCCAAATTCTTGAATTGAACCTGATTGCTTATAATTCACTAAGCATTATATTACCCATACAAGTTTAGCACTTCTCCTGATTATAAAAAAGTAATAAAGTTGCATATCAAAATCATGCCCCAAACCAGCAGATAAATAACACTCACATTAACAATTATTATTTCAATCAAAACTAAGTGCTAAACCCAAAGGGTCACACAGCTCACACTGAGAGTAATGTTGGTAACTAATGTACCTTAAATTATATTTATCTCTCAAAGTGTTTGAAATTAAAAAAAAAAAAAATCCCGAATAATACCATCTTTTAAATAGTAGTATGTACTTATAAATACGTTGAAGTTAAGTTGTAGTTTGTTTTAATCCTAAATAAATTTTAGGCTTTATTTTGTTGACACTTTTTTTGCAATGTTTGGATATTTCTATTTAGGCTACATTTTCCTAAGAGCTTTATCAAGCCTCAAATACCCTAAATAAAATATCCAAACATTGCAAAGTATTCATTTAAGTTAATCTTGATCATGTTGACATTTCTGAACACTAATTAGATAAAAGTATTTGCATTTATATTTTAAATGAATAGCCAACTTATTTGTTTCAGTATTATAAATACAATACAGTTTCATAAACAAGTAAATATTCAAAATAATCTACATACTATACAATAATAAATACATGTATACAAAGTCATTCTTAACAGTGAGATGTTGGCCTGTACATGCCATCCAGGGTATCATCCATTCAGCCAACCTCTAAAATATGTAAATTTGCCCAAGCTTTTGAAGGCCTTCATCAACTTTTCTGTGTATGTATAGCCAAACATTGTCTACCAGGTAGACATTTGTTGCCACACTTGGAAACTTGTTTGTCAGTTTCAAGAATGTAAAAAAAAAACAAAATCTGAGGCAGTGTGTATGGATCATGTGTACCTAAAATAACCACTTCCTCCATCTTGCTCAAATTCTGGTTCTGCAAGATGCTTGATGGTTATTGAACGGAATCACTGTGTCTGACTGGCAACATGGTGGACACAGGTGCTCAAGTCACATAACTGCAAACTCTGTATGCATTAGTATATCATAGATATCAAAAAAGTTTTAAGAAATCAATGAATTCCTTTTGGAATTTGAAGTGACAAAGTAGCACTAGATTTGGCTCTAAAAGTTTTAGTGATATTACTTGAGTTAGCATAAAGAAAGTATTGGTAAAAGATCAATATTAACAGCATTTTATCAGAGTATAACATTACTCTCAATTTAAGAAGAACAATCTACATAATCTACAAGTGCATAAAATGAGTTATAAGAGGTAATATGCACAGATTACTTAAACGAAATGACCTCCCACTTCGCTTTTAATTCTAGCAACATATTACTAAGATTTATACAAAAGTGCTCATAAGCTCTAAGAAATTTATTACAGTCAAACCTCATTTTACTTGACTATGTAACCTGAAACCTTAGTTTTAAAAGTAATATATCACTAACTAGCTCCTGCCTGCCACTGTGAATCCATCTCTCACCTGAGTTGGATGAATTACATGCTCTGCACTACCACCCTCACTTCTCCCATTATTGGCAATATCTAAATTGAATCTCTTGGGTCAGAATATTTCAGATCAACAATTATTTTTGTTATTATTTAATGCACTTTTATATCCAGATGAATGAGGTTCAACTGTATTAATAGTGATAAAATTCATATATTACTAAAGTATATATATTTTCAAATCTAATAATATATATCACAAAGTATTACTGTACTGTAATATAAATATAAATGATACTGTACTTTAAAAATATAAAGTATATTCTTAAGTCAAAACTGGTTTGTTACAGTAGATACTTCAGTACTATAACCAATTTCTCTTACTTCTATTATTTTATTTCCAAATGTTAAATAGGAAAAGAACATTAATATTTAATGGATTCATATCTTCAGATTGTAGAGATATTTAAGCCTATATCCAGAATTATTCATTGTCAAAGCTAATAATATATGGCTGATATATATGTACTTTAAGAACCGAATCAAGTTTCCATAAGTTATCTATTTGAAAATATTCACAAAGTTATTTTTAAATATGGTACAGCTTTACTAAATGTAATGTATTTTTAAGAATACATTTAAAGATTGTATATACGTATGTTTCTTTTCTTTTCACCATTCAGCTGACAGTGCAGTCTAAATCTCCATCTTGTGGGAAGCAAGTGAGAGTAGAAGTAACAGCTCTGATCATGTAGGACATGGTGCCATAGCTTCCTGAAGGTGCACTATCATAGAAATGTAGACAGATGTACGCTGCACCACCGCATGATAATCCACCTCCAATGCCAGGCTCTCTTTTATCCCGAGCACAACACAGTGTTGCATCGCCATCTTGATGTTTCTGCCAAAAAAATGTTTTGTCATTGCCAATTTCTGTATTCAAGAAAATGAATGATTTTTTTTTTTAACAAAATTCTCTTAAAAACAGTCGCATATCTGTGATCAGATTAAAGGTTTTCCACTTCTGCAGCCCAGTCTGTGGTCACACTTCCTTTTTGTAACCATCTAACTGATTAATCTGTTTCTTACTCCTCTACCTCCCTATATCTAAAACAATGATGTTTATACACATCTAGATAAGCAAAGTCATACCCTCTCTATTTTTCTCTTTATCAATGGCAATAGAATTCAAATGGACAATACAAAATGATCTACACAACAGTGATCATTTCCCCTATTCCTATTACTTGCATTCTTTCGCCCACCCTCCTCACCTATCTTGGTGACAAAATGAGTGTGAGAATTGAGTCCCATATACGCACCATACTTTTTCTCCTGATGATCCTCCCCATTCCCCCACACACAAGATATTACATCTTTGTTACCCTGGTATTCTCTGCAGGTATACTTATCAATTCCCGGACATCGGGTAAACATTTTTAGAACTGTGTCCCTTGGTGGTTTCCTGATTGCATTCATGTTGTACGTTTAAAGCAAGCTATGTGAAGCCACTACCTTTACAACTGCAACACAGAGCATTTCCTAACTTATAAACATTGCAATATACAGACAGCTACTCAAACTCATCTTGCTTACACGTGCACAGTGAATGCCACTGTCTCTACTGTGCATAGTTTGGAAAAATGTAAGTAAGTTAGCAGACATGTATACATGTGACTGCTCCTATCCTTACCATCACGGGTAAATAAAGTAGCAGATCCTGTCAAAGTCACCAAAGCAATTGGGCATCTCTTTGCTCATGTTTCCAAGGCCTACATTTACTCCCTCCTTTCTCCAATTCAACCCTGAGTGGGAAACTGCCCCACTTAGCTTATTAAAAATGCCTAGTCAATATATGCCTTGTTTGGTATTTTAAAACAGGAAACCGTTTCCCCTTTTCAATTTGGTTTCAAAAAAGGTTGGTCCATAAACTTCCCACTCTTACTACACACACATTTGGTTGTCTTTTTTTTATTTAGAAAAACTTATGACACTACTTGGCATTTCAACATTTTTCCATAGGCTCATTGCTTAGGCCTCTTAGGCAGACTACTGCTCTTCCTCAATAATTTCCTATAAGGAAGAAGCTTCAATGTTTGAGTAAATAACAGCCTTTCTCTTGATTTTGTGACAGTTGAAGGCATACCACAAGGCTGCACCCTTCATACTACCTTATTCCTAAATGGGACAGTCCATTTGACTTAATTAAAAGAGAAAAAATTAGTTTATGAGAGGATTTTACAAAGCAGAAGTGCTATACGAAGAGCAGAGTATATGGAGAGTAAAAGAAAGGTGAAGAGAGTGGTGAGAGAGTGCAAAAGGAGAGCAGATGATAGAGTGGGAGAGCACTGCCAAGAAATTTTAATGAAAATAAGAAAAATTTTTGGAGTTAAACAAGTTAAGAAAGCCTAGGGAACGTATGGATTTGTCAGTTAAAACAGAGTAGGGGAGTTAGTACATGGGAGAGGGGGGTATTAGGTAGATGGCAAGAGTATTTTGAGGAACTTTTAAATGTTGAGGAAGAAAGGGAGGCGGTAATTTCATGAACTGGTCAGGGAGGTATACCATCTTTTAGGAGTGAAGAAGAGCAGAATGTAAGTGTGGGGGAGGTATATGAGGCATTACGTAGAATGAAAGCGGGTAAAGCAGCTGGAACTGATGGGATCATGACAGAAATGTTAAAAGCATGGGGGGATACAGTGTTGGAGTGGTTGGTACTTTTGTTTAATAAATGTATGAAAGAGGGGAAGGTACCTAGGGATTGGCAGAGAGCATGTATAGTCACTTTATATAAAGGGGAAGGGGGACAAAGAGATTGTAAAAATTATAGAGGAATAAGTTTATTGAGTATACCAGGAAAAGTGTACGGTAGGGTTATTATTGAAAGAATTAGAGGCAAGACAGAATGTAGGATTGAGAATGAGCAAGGAGGTTTCAGAGTGGGTAGGGGATGTGTAGATCAAGTGTTTACATTGAAGCATATATGTGAACAGTATTTAGATAAATGTAGGGAAGTTTTTATTGCATTTATGGATTTAGAAAAGGCATATAATAGAGTGGATAGGGGAGCAATGTGGCAGATGTTGCAAGTATATGGAATAGGTGGTAAGTTACTAAATGCTGTAAAAAGATTTTATGAGGATAGTGAGGCTCAGGTTAGGGTGTGTAGAAGAGAGGGAGACTACTTCCCGGTAAAAGTAGGTCTTCGATAAGGATGTGTAATGTCACCATGGTTGTTTAATATATTTATAGATGGGGTTGTAAAAGAAGTAAATGCTAGGGTGTTCGGGAGAGGGGTGGGATTAAATTATGGGGAATCAAATACAAAATCCTAGGTAGTAGGTTGGTAGACAGCAACCGCCCAGGGAGGTACTACCGTCCTGCTAAGTGAGTGTAAAACGAAAGCCTGTAATTGTTTTACATGATGGTAGGATTGCTGGTGTCCTTTTTTCTGTCTCATGAACATGCAAGATTTCAGGTACGTCTTGCTACTTCTACTTACACTTAGGTCACACTACACATACATGTACAAGCATATATATACACACCCCTCTGGGTTTTCTTCTATTTCTTTCTAGTTTATTGTTTTATTTCCTCTTATCTCCATGGGAAGTGGAACAGAATTCTTCCTCCGTAAGCCATGCGTGTTGTAAGAGGCGACTAAAATGCCGGGAGCAAGGGGCTAGTAACCTCTTCTCCTGTATATATTACTAAATGTAAAAGGAGAAACTTTCGTTTTTCCTTTTGGGCCACCCCGCCTCGGTGGGATACAGCCGGTGTGTTGAAAGAAAGAAATACAAAATGGGAATTGACACAGTTACTTTTTGCTGATGATACTGTGCTTATGGGAGATTCTAAAGAAAAATTGCAAAGGTTAGTGGATGAGTTTAGGAGTGTGTGTAAAGGTAGAAAGTTGAAAGTGAACATAGAAAACAGTAAGGTGATGAGAGTATCAAATGATTTAGATAAAGAAAAATTGGATATCAAATTGAGGAGGAGGAGTATGGAAGAAGTGAATGTTTTCAGATACATGTACTTGGGAGCTGACGTGTCGGCGGATGGATTTATGAAGGATGAGGTTAATCATAGAAAGGTGAGTGGTGCGTTGAGGTACATGTGGAGTCAAAAATCGTTATCTATGGAGGCAAAGAAAGGAATGTATGAAAGTATAGTAGTACCAACACTCTTATATGGGTGTGAAGCTTGGGTTGTGAATGCAGCAGTGAGGAGGCGGTTGGAGGCAGTGGAGATGTCCTGTCTAAGGGCAATGTGTGGTGTAAATATTATGCAGAAAATTCGGAGTGTGGAAATTAGGAGGTGTGGAGTTAATAAAAGTAATAGTCAGAGGGCTGAAGAGGGGTTGTTGAGGTGGTTTGGTCATTTAGAGAGAATGGATCAAAGTAGAATGACATGGAGAGCATTTAAATCTGTAGGGGGAGGGAGGCGGGGTAGGGGTCGTCCTCGAAAAGGTTGGAAGGACAGGGTAAGGGAGGTTTTGTGGGCGAGGGGCTTGGACTTCCAGCAGGCGTGCATGAGCGTGTTCGATAGGAGTGAATGGAGATGAATGGTATTTGGGACCTGACGATCTGTTGGAGTGTGAGCAGGGTAATATTTAGTGAAGGGATTCAGGGAAACCGGTTATTTTTATATAGCCGGACTTGAGTCCCGGAAATGGGAAGTACAATGCCTGCACTCTAAAGGAGGGGTTTTGGGATATTAGCAGTTTGGAGGGATATGTTGTGTATCTTTATACGTATATGCTTCTAAACTGTTGTGTTCTGAGCACCTCTGCAAAAACTGTGATTATGTGTGAGTGAGGTGAAAGTGTTGAATGATGATGAAAGAATTTTATTTTTGGGGATTTTTTCTTCCTTTTTGGGTCACCCTGCCTCGGTGGGAGACAGCCGACTTGTTGAAAAAAAAAAAAAAAAAGTTATAAGATAATGTTAAGGGTGCTTGAAATGCTCTGTATAGCCAGGAGCTTTTTATAATGTATGTGAATAATGTCAAGTGACAGTACGGTGGTACCTCGAATTTCAAACAGCTCCCAACTCGAACAATTATGTAAGTGTATTTTTGTAAGTGCTTTTGTAAGTGTATTTTTGGGGGGTCTGAAACAGACTAATCTAATTTACAATATTCCTTATGGGAACAAATTCATTCGGTAACGGCACTCAAATAGCCTTCTGGAACGAATTAAGGTCGAAATTCGAGGTACCACTGTACATCAATTGTATAATAAACCTTTTAGAAGTAATTCTTATTATTATTTCAATTGTATAGTTTACTTTTTAGAAATAAATATTATTATTACTATTATATTCAACCAATATCATACTCTTCCCTCCCTCCTGGAGAAGTTCCAGCAAATAATGTGTGCTCCTTCCCCCATTCATGCCCAAAGGCAAACATATTTGCCATAAACCTGTGCTCACCAATATGCTCAAATCATCGGATGAAGTAAGGTATGTGGCTGCCTTTCCAACTAGAGTAAACCAAGGACATTACTTGAGTCAGCAAGCAATTTCACAGCGGTTTTATACGATACTCATGGCTACCATACACACTACATTTATGTCCACCTCCTCAGTCACCGTTTTTTCAGACTCCAAGCACATTTTAAACTATCCAGAAATATGACTCTACATCCCTTAATGTTTGGTATACAAGAGTGGTTATGTCAAATTACTAAAGAGCACAAAGTTTTTTCCTAGATCCCTTTACATGCTGACATTTAGGGTAATAAAGAGAGATTCAATCACTTGCTCCACTGTTCCCAAACTGCTAATTCCCTACGGAGAAGTCCCTTTTTTGAAATATTTTCCAGTACTGCTCTAGTCTCTAAATCTGCTAGCAACAGTGCTGGTCTGAGTTAGAGGGAAACAACTGTGTTTTCAAAAACTGAAACTAGACAGATATAATGGCATTAGGCATCTATAACAATGGAAAGGATATGTAATATTAACTATAAAAAAGAATACAGTGGACCCCCGGTTAACGATTTTAATCCGTGCAAGAGGGCTCATCGTTATGCGAAATAATCGTTATGCGAATGAATTTTCCCCATAAGAAATAATGGAAATAAAATTAATCCGTGCAAGACGCCCAAAAGTATGAAAAAAATTTTTTTTTACCACATGAAATGTTAATTTTAATACACACAAACTGAAAAAGGCATGCACAATTACATGACACTTACTTTTATTGAAGATCTGGTGATGATTGATGGGATGGGAGGAGGGGAGAGCATTATCTTCTTACTGTTTAGAAGGGGAATCCCTTCCATTAGGACTTGAGGTAGCAAGTCCTTTTCTGGGGTTACTTCCCTTCTTCTTTTAATGCCACTAGGACCAGCTTGAGAGTCACTGGACCTCTGTCGCACAACAAATCTGTCCATAGAGCTCTGTACCTCCCGTTCCTTCAAGACTTTCCTAAAATGGGCCATAACATTGTCATTGAAATAGTCACCAGCACGGCTTGCAACAGCTGTGTCAGGGTGATTTTTCATCTATAAAGGTTTGCAGTTCAACCCACTCTGCACACATTTCCTTAATCTTTGAAGTAGGCACAATGGATTCCACAACTGGCATAGGCTTCTCAGGGTTAGCCCCAAACCCTTCAAAATCTTTCTTAATTTCCATACTAATTCTCACCCTTTTTACCACAGGGTTGGCACTAGAAGCTTTCTTAGGGCCCATGGTCACTTATTTTCCAGAAACAGCACCGAAAACACTGTAATAATACGAAATATTCCGAGTGTATGCTTGGATGTTACCGCGGAGGCTGGCTGGTAAACAATGGGACGGCCGGCACATGTGAGGGCACATTGGACGCGTCTCGGACGAAAATCGGTAAGCGGGTTTTTAATCGGTATGCGCGGCAAAAATTTTGCGATAAAAGTAATCGGTATGCGGAAAAATCGCTATGTGATGCCATCGTTATGCGGGGGTCCACTGTATTATAATATCTGTAAACTAATTATACTGTGTGAGTTTGGAATGATCTCCTTACCAAATTTTTTTTTTAATATCAGCCCACTCCCCAAAATTAATTTAGATTTGGATTTCAGAAATTGCCAAAATTTTTTACAAATAATGTGCCTGTAAAGAGATAATACTTTTCATTTTTTTTTTAATTCAAAAGGATTTCTGAAATAATGATTTTTATGAATAAAAGCAAAAATCCAAATCTGCAAGTTTTCCACAAAATGAACAGTTCTGTGATAGCATACCTGATCTGCTAAGAAAATGTTGTTAGCCACATGTACGATGTCTTGAGCTGACACAATATCTCCAAGATTTTCTGTATTGTGATATTCTTGAACAAGTGACAAGACCATCAAAGCCTGCATAAGCAAAATTAGAATAGAGACATATTGTGCATTATATACTAAAAAATATAATTTAGTAAAATACATACAGTGAACCTTCTGATAGTGCAAGGAATACATTCCTGAAAATCAGCAGCCTGTGAAAATTAGCTGTTTGAGGTGAAGAATATGTGCAAAAAATAGCATTATGCTCCACACCTTCAAATTAGTCAAGTTTTTTATTTTTAATAATGTTCTGGGTAAAAATTACTTTGGTTTACCTTCCTTACATTCTGTTTGCTGTTATCTGAAGCATATGGAGAGTGCAGGGAGGAGTGATGTGGGCCTACTGGGCCAGACTGGATGCAATGATACAAAACTGTAGCAAACATATAAAAACTCGCTGCACCTATACCAAACATACACAGGCACACATTCTTTTATCTGAAACCCTTGGGGCCAGTAGAGTTTAGAATTTCAGAATGAAAGTGGGGTCTAGGGCAGTACCCCATAATCAAACATTAACACTGCAGCAAAAACGTATGAATACTCACACCAAGTGGGATAAATAAAGACTACAAATACTACTATGGTTTATTTATTGGCAGATGTTGCAAGTTTATGGAATAGGTGGTAAGTTACTAAATGCTGTAAAGAGCTTTTATGAGGATAGTGAGGCTCAGGTTAGGGTGTGTAGAAGAGAGGGAGAATACTTCCCGGTAAAAGTAGGTCTTAGACAGGGATGTGTGATGTCACCAGGGTTGTTTAATATATTTATAGATGGGGTTGTAAAAGAAGTAAATGCTAGGGTGTTCGGGAGAGGGGTGGGATTAAATTATGGGGAATCAAATTCAAAATGGGAATTGACACAGTTACTTTTTGCTGATGATACTGTGCTTATGGGAGATTCTAAAGAAAAATTGCAAAGGTTAGTGGATGAGTTTGAGAATGTGTGTAAAGGTAGAAAGTTGAAAGTGAACATAGAAAAGAGTAAGGTAATGAGGGTATCAAATGATTTAGATAAAGAAAAAATGGATATCAAATTGGGGAGGAGGAGTATGGAAGAAGTGAATGTTTTCAGATACTTGGGAGTTGACGTGTCGGCGGATGGATTTATGAAGGATGAGCTTAATCATAGAATTGATGAGGGAAAAAAGGTGAGTGGTGCGTTGAGGTATATGTGGAGTCAAAAAACGTTATCTATGGAGGCAAAGAAGGGAATGTATGAAAGTATAGTAGTACCAACACTCTTATATGGATGTGAAGCTTGGGTGGTAAATGCAGCAGCGAGGAGACGGTTGGAGGCAGTGGAGATGTCCTGTCTAAGGGCAATGTGTGGTGTAAATATTATGCAGAAAATTCGGAGTGTGGAAATTAGGAGAAGGTGTGGAGTTAATAAAAGCATTAGTCAGAGGGCAGAAGGGGGGTTGTTGAGGTGGTTTGGTCATTTAGAGAGAATGGATCAAAGCAGAATGACATGGAAAGCATATAAATTTATAGGGGAAGGAAAGAGGGGTAGGGGTCGTCCTCGAAAGGGTTGGAAAGAGGGGGTAAAGGAGGTTTTGTGGGCGAGGGGCTTGGACTTCCAGCAAGCGTGCATGAGCGTGTTAGATAGGAGTGAATGGAGACGAATGATACTTGGGACCTGACGATCTGTTGGAGTGTGAGCAGGGTAATATTTAGTGAAGGGATTCATGGAAACCGGTTATTTTCATATAGTCGGACTTGAGTCCTGGAAATGGGAAGTACAATGCCTGCACTTTAAAGGAGGGGTTTGGGATATTGGCAGTTTGGAGGGATATGTTGTGTATCTTTATACGTATATGCTTCTAAACTGTTGTATTCTGAGCACCTCTGCAAAAGCAGTGATAATGTGTGAGTGTGGTGAAAGTGTTGAATGATGATGAAAGTATTTTCTTTTTGGGGATTTTCTTTCTTTTTTGGGTCACCCTGCCTCGGTGGGAGACGACCGACTTGTTGAATAAAAAAAAAAAAAAAAAAAAATGAAATAATGGGATAATTATAGACCAGGAACATGATTCTCAAGTGATGAAGCAGCACTATGACAGACGGCATTTTTAAAGACTTAACTGATCACACATTTTCACTTTATCAAATATGGGGACTTTTTCACCTGTGTTCACAATGTCATCATCATCACCACATCACTACTATTCTCATACTTATTTATATTTAACACCATTTCTTTAAATCATAAACAGTGGTAGCTCCAACACCATATTCTTTAGTAAGACACCGCACTGACACACCACGATCAAGCTTCTGCAGTAATTCTACTCTCTGCGTTATTGATAACGTTAGATGCTTCCTTTTCTTTTTCTCACTGTTACCCATAGGGGTATCTGCAGCTCTTTTTGATATTTTCACAGTGAAATTAAACACAGACACAAAATAAAAAGCAAAAACAAAACAGCAGCGAACAGCAGACACATGTGTGAACACTACAAGCACTGAGATACAACTGACGCCTGTGACTGGCTGTCAGTGACTGACGCTTCACATTCCATAAAAAACGTATGACACTACTTCGCATTTCAAATTTTAAAATTTTAGAATTTCGGATGAAGGAATGTGGACCTGTACCAAGTATAAAGGTTTAGTAGTCCCTCCAAACTGCCAGTGTCCTAAACCCCTCCTTTACCCCTAAACTGTCCAAACGTAGATCTATGTTTTTTTTTTTACATGCTTTCAAATGGGGAAAATCAAGGTTGGAGTGTTATGCGTGTAAATGTAGATCTATGTTTGGACAATTTAAGGGTTAACCCCTTGACTGTCGCAATCCCAAATCCAGAGGTGTCTCCTGGTGTCAAAAAATCCCCCCCCCCCCCAAAAAAAAAAAAAAATTATGAAATGAAAGAGAACCTTTTCCCGATTGTAATGACACCAAAAGAACGAAACTTGATGGAAAACTGACAGAATTACGCTCTCGCAAAGTTAGCGACCTCAGCGATATTTACGAATCGGCGATTTCACCCACTTTGAGCCCTATTTTCGGCTAATTCCATTGTTCCAGTCAACCAAACTCATAGGTATTTCTTTAGAACTCCATTTTTTCTATCGATTGAGTGCAAGAAACTGCTCATTTACCGATTTCAACTACCCAATAACGTGGTAAGAAATTTCCAATTTGGCCAATTTCACGAAAATTAAAAAATATGACAATTTCAAAATATCCAGAATGAACAATGAAGACATTCCTGGTTCTAAAATAACATTTTCTTTGTTCAACAGTCACATCTCCAGGCCCCTCTGATATTATTCTTGCTTTCTATTTTGAATTTTTATTCAGACAAAAATAGAAGAATTACTCTTATGCAGACTACTGCAATATTGTAATAATTGTATAAATAATGTCAACCCATTCATGACTGCATATTAGAATGGCTACTTGGACATTTATTGGACAATGACATCATTTGTTTACTTTTGAACATCGGCAAAAATCAAACATTTCCCCTACTTTGAGCTCTATTTCAAGGTCCTTTTCATAGTAAAACCAATCAAAATCACCTCTATTTCTATAATACGTTTTCCATTCTATCAAATGAGACCAAGAAAACGAGAATACAAAAATAAATACTATAAGAAAATAGACCACAAATTTGGCAGTTTAATTAAAAAAAAAAAAAGTCAGTTTTTTTTTTCCTCATTATACACTGCGTGCTGAAGGATTTTTTTTATATGGTGCACACTGACCACACAGACCCATTCTCTCACATGTGGGCCTACCAGCTTTCTCCTGCTTGATATGAAGTCGCTAGAATTTATGAGTATATATATACGTGAAACACGGTGGCTCGTAAGACATATATGTAGTATATGACCAAAACAGTCAAAGGGTTAAAGTGCAGGCATTGTACTTCCCATTTCCAGGACTCAAGTCCGGCTAACCGGTTTCCCTGAGTCACTTCACAAAATATTACCCTACTCACACCCCAACAGCTTGTCGGGTCCCAAAAACCATTTGTTTCCAATCACTCCTATTTAACACACTCACACAAGCTTGCTGGAAGTCCAAGCCTCTCACCCACAAAACCTCCTTTACCCTCTCCCTCCAACCTTTTTGAGGACAACCCCCTCCCTCCAACCTTTTTGAGGACAACCCCCTCCCTCCAACCTTTTTGAGGACAACCCCCTACCCCGCCTTCCTTTCCCTACAGATTTATATGCTCTCCAAGTCATTCTACTTTGGTCCATTCTCTCTAAATGACCAAACCACCTCAACAACCCCTCTTCAGCCCTCTGACTAATACTTTTAGTAACTCCACACCTCCTCCTAATTTCCACACACTGAATTCTCTGCATAATATTTACACCACACATTGCCCTTAGACATGACATCTCCACTGCCTTCAGCCACCTCCTCGCTGCAGCATTTACAACCAATGCTTCACACCCATATAAGAGTGTTCGTACCACTATACTTTCATACATTCCCTTCTTTGCCTCCATGGATAACATTTTTCGTCTCCACAGATACCTCAATGCACCACTCACCTTTTTTCCTTCATCAATTCTATGGTTAACCTCATCCTTAATAAACCCATCTGCTGACAATTCAACTCCTAAATATCTGAAGACATTCACTTCTTCCATACTTCCTCTCTCCAGTGTGATATCCAGTTTTTCTTTATTTAAATCATTTAATACCCTCATCACCTTACTCTTATCTATGTTCACTCTCAATCATGTAAATATATTTATTAAAAAACAGATATAAAATTTTATGGTTCTGGAAGGCATGTCTCTGATGCTTAGGAAAACAGGTTGCAGAATCCTAACACTACTGCACTTTATTTTCTGGCATGTAAGGCACACTTCTTTTTCCCCACAAAAAGTCTTGGAAAATCAGCCTGCACCTTATATGCTCAAGGTCAGAGTCAAAGGTACGCTTTCGGTTACACTTCAGCAGTTGTTTACTAACGTTACGTTACAACTGCTTGGAAACATCGTCTTATATGCTCATGCACTTCATATGCCAGAAAATATGGAAAAAATTATTTTCAGGAATGTATTATTATTATAAATGTTTGGGTGACCAACATGACCTACTATATTTCAATATTTATTATTTACTGAAGGTTTAGAAACCTGCTAAAGAGTAAATTATCCATACAATTTTATGTCCCAGTTAATTTTAAATTGTATTTTTACATTTCAGGGCCCAAGAAATTTCCATGGAACATACATCTATGTATTTTATAAAATGAATAAAAAATAAGAGTAAAGCTGACCTCAACAACCAGCTGTCTATATTCTGGCTGAGGGATGGTATTGAGTACAGTCTCAACCTCTAGTGCAAACTTCAATTCACCTGCTGTCATCTGTAAGAGAAGATACCTATTGTAGTACAAGTATATAATAAAAATAATATACAGTATAACTCATCAAAGAATCTTTTAAAATATGATAAAGCTTTTAATCAATCTAAGTATTACAAGTAATGATATAAGTGCAGCAATTTTAAGATTAGGTATTACGGCAAATTTTTATATCACGATTCTTCTATACTCTGCATTATTTTTTTGATTTTACGCATAATGGCTATCTCCCACCATTGTATGGTGATCCCAAGAAGAAAACATTCACCATCAGTCACTCAACTGCCGAATTTCCAGAAGCGTGCAACATCACAATCAAATTACGGGCACCCTCTAATTGCAACATCCCTGCCCCTCCTGCAGAGTGCAGGCACTGCCTCTCTCACCTCCAAAACTAAAGTCTGATTAACCAGTTTCCCTAAATCACACTCAACAGCATACCCATTAAAAAACACTTGTCTTTATTCACTCCTATCTATATTGTTCCAGACCATGGAGCTGAACTCTTCTTCAGGCTGAGGAACTGACCACCTCAAATACTTTTCCTCCAAGACTGGATTGATTACATCATCTTTATTTCACTAAAACTGCACCCTCTAAATTTAACTGAAGAAGCCTACTGTGTAGTTGAAACATTTCATCAATAAAGATACCAAACTGTTCCACATGTCTCTTAATCTTCAACTTATATGCAGTTAATGTAGGATCATTCTCCACTTATTCTTTAACTACTCCAGATGTCCTAGGTCTAACAGACTTCACCCTTCCTGATCTTTGCTTAACCCTTTGAGGGTTTTGGTCGTACTAGTACGTCTTATGCGTAGGGGTTTTTGACGTACTAGTACGCATAAATTCTAGCGGCCTCAAATCTCGCGCGAAAAGGCTGGTAGGCCTAGGTGTGAGAGAATGGGTCTGCGTGGTCGGTGTGCGCAGTAGAAAAAAAAATCTGGGACCCAGTGGTGCATTGTGGGAATGCCCTCTTAGTAAACAATGTCCACCATGCCTCGCGGTAAGAAGGTCCTCACTCCTCGGTGAATTGGGACACTTTTGTTCCCCAGTGACAGTTCTAATAGTGATGGAAGTGCCAGTGAAGATGAGTTTCGTGGTTTTAGTGAGGTTTTGACCGAAACTAATGACCATAATATCGGTAATAGTGAGGAAAACCCAGACGACCCTCAGCCTTCCACCTCTGGTGCTGGGCCCTCTTGTTCACGTTCAGTTGTTCAGAACCAAAAGGAAACTTCTATTTTCCCAAATCCCAGACTCAGGTGAGAGCATGGGTGATGATAGTGATAGTGAATATGAACTACAAGCTCTTCAAACTAGTTCCAGTAGTGATAGTGAAGTGCAATATTCCCCAGTGAAGCGTCAGTATATACTACGACGATATATGCGCTCTGGTAGTGTGCCATATGTTATACCAAGGGGAAGGAGTGTATCTTGGAGTACATCCCGTGGCTGTACAACAGGAACAGACAGTGAAAATGACGAAGATACTGTTGCAATTGGGATGGAAAATGTGCGTGGTGGTAGTGGTGCTGGCGGTGAGGCACCAGCAGTGGGCCACGCTGCCACCCATGCCGCTGCCTCAGCTGATCTAGAACAAAGGCCACCATCCCCCACTCACCCACCACACCAGCCTCCACAACCACAACCTCCACAACCACAACCACCTGTCATTGTCCAGTACCCACCAGCAGACCGCACCTGGGATTGGCAGGAAGCTGTCAATTTTGTTCCAAATCCCCACCAGTTTGATGACAGCCAAAGTGGAATACGGCCATCTTGTGCACTTGGGAACAATGCCACTGAACTGGAATGTTTCGAGTTATTCTTTGACGAACCACTGATGAAAGTATTGTCATGGAAAGCAACACATACTACGAGTTACACCATGGCAAACATTACTTTCACCAAAATCACGTCTACACCAGTGGAAGGAGGCAACTGTGGCTGAGATGTATCTTTTCTTTGCCACAATAATGCTTATGCCACATGTGTATAAGCACAAAGTGAAATCATACTGGTCAACAGACCCCTGATTGCAACACCAGGTTTCAGTGATATAATGCCAGTGAATCGATTTGTGCTAATGTTACGCATGCTTCACTTCTCAGATAAAACCAGGCCTGACAGAACTGACAGGTTATATAAGATTAGGAATGTGTTTGTGTATCTGAAACAGAAATTCAGTACGCATTTTTATCCCTTCAGGAAGCTTGTAATTGACGAGTCTTTGATTCTGTTCAAAGGAAGACTCTCTTTCAAGCAGTACATACCAAGCAAGAGGAAACGCTTTGGTATAAAGTTGTTTGTGCTTTGTGATTGTTACAGTGGTCTGGTATTGGATATTATTGTGTACACTGGAAGTTATACATTGCAAAATACCAGGAAGTTATTGGGCATCTCAGGTGATGTGGTTCGAACAATGATAGAACCATACCTTGGTAAGGGGCATATATTATATACAGATAACTGGTACACAAGCCCCTCACTCAGTGATTTTTTGCGAGTGAACATGACAGATGTGTGTGGCACAGTGCGTGCAAATCGGAAACATATGCCCAGGTTTGACGCTGGCACTCGTAGAGGTGAGGTGCAGGCATTTGCTGCCATTGACATCATGGCATTTCGGTGGCATGACAAACGAGATGTCACACTGTTGTCATCAATTCACCCTAATGAAATGGCAGACAGTGGCAGGCAGCATAGAGAGAGAAATGAACCCATTCTAAAACCTGCAGCTGTGATTGATTACACCTTCAACATGCATTCAGTGGACAAATGTGACATGCAGATTGGGTTTGCTGATTGTGTTCGCAAGAGTTATAAGTGGTACATCAAACTGTTTTTCCATCTTCTGGACATTTCCATGCTCAATGCTTATAATATGTATAAGATGAGCACCAGAAACAAACCACAGTACGGCGAATTCTGTTTGTCTGTCATCAGACAAATAGTATTCAAGTACCAAGGAACAGCACCTGCAATTGACCGCCCACCAAATTTTCAACAACTACCTGCTCGTCTGAAGCATGGTGATCACTTCCTGGTAAAACTGCCTGCTACTGCTTTGAAGAAAAAGGCTCAGAAGAGGTGTTACGTCTGTGCACATACAAAAAAAAAAAAAAACACAACGCAGAGACACTCGTTTTATGTGTGAGGAGTGTAAAACTACACTGTGCATGACACCATGTTTCAAAGAGTTCCACAGGCTTCAGAACTTCTAGAAACATTCCCTGTGACTGTATATGTGTATATAAAATATAGAAAAATAGTAATAAACAACATTTCATATCGTTTGTTTGTGTAAATATTTTCTGTAAACAAAATAATGACAACAGTGTTTACGCCCTTATTGTGTAGTATTGAAAAAGAAATAACTTACAAAATACTGATCATGTTGGCCTCAGAGGCCATAAAAGTTACTCAGAAAAAGAAAAATTGAAAAATAATTGAAAATAGTACATAAAATATTAAATAGAAAAATACCGGGTGACGGCAGTCGGCAATGTTACCATATGTTGTTCAATTTTGGCAAATTTCACGCCTCCATATCTCGGTAAGTATTGACGTTAAAATTTTTTTGTTTAGCCTATAATGTTTAGAAAAAAAAAACTATTTTTTCATAAGAAAAAATAATTTTTTTTTTTTTTGAAATTTGGCCGACCCTGAGAACGAGTTTCGGAGAGGGCCTGTCGACCCTCAAAGGGTTAATAATGGATGGGACTACCTCTACTAGTAGTCAAGAGAAAGTGGACCTCTTTGCTGAACACTTTGCATTTTGCAAGTTCCTGATTAAGCAAAGTGTGTCAAAATTGTCAGTGGTGACAATAAGGCTTGACCAAGAAAAGGCTGTGGGCCCAGACAAGGTTGAGTCCAAGATTGCTGAGAAGATGTGCAGACCAGCAAGCAGCACCTCTAACTCGCATCTTTCAGCACTGCCTAGTACAGTGTAAAGAGGCAAATGTAGTCCCTGTTCACAAAAAGAAGAGCAGAGCAGAAATCAGCTACTACAGGCCAGTGTCACTCCTGTCAATCACTGGCAAGCTCCTCGAGACAATAATCTCAAGACAAATGACAGAGTTTTTTGACTACCACTCACTACTTTGTGACTGTCAGTATGGCTTCAGGAATGGTTACTCTGCTGCAGATCTGTTGTTAAACCTCTCCACTAAATGGCACCAGTCACTGGATAAAACCAAAGTCAGCTATGTGGTAGCACTGGACATTGCTGGTACTTTTGATTGAGGGTGGCACCCGGGCCTCTTAGCAAAACTGCAAGCTCTGGGAATTGCAGGCTCTATGCTATGTCTCCTCAGTGAATACCTTCATGGTAGATCTCTAAGGGTAGTTCTCAATGGAACAGAATCAGCAAGACATCCTACTGGGGCAAGTGTTCCACAAGGAAGTGTGCTGGGACCATTGTTATGGAATGTCTACTTCAATGACTTTGTTCATCTCATCCCAGAATCCCATGCATATGCAGATGACTGTACACTGACATTCACTTATCCAAGAGAAGAAATGACAGCTGCTCTAAGCTACATCAATCACCAGCTAAGAGCTATATCAGCTTGAGGAAATAGATGGCAAGTAACATTTGCACCTGAGAAAACACAAATGATGATGATCTCTAGGCACCATGATGATAATGCCGGTGCAGTAGTAAGGATGAATGGGAGGGTGTTGGCACCTGGAAAAGAAGTTGATATCGTTGGGGGGAAATTTGACTCCAAACTGACCATGAAAAACCACACTGTAAATCTTGCAAACAAGGCAGTCAGGAAGCTTACAGCACTTCGCCATATCTCGCATCTGCTTGACAGCAGGGGTTGCAAGATTTTGTACGAGGCACAAGTACGCTCACACCTTGAGTATGCTCCACTTTCTTGGTTCGCCTGCCCCCCTTCTCATCTGCGACTGCTTGACAGAGTAAAGAACAGAGCAAGACATCGCATCTCTCGCCTGGACCAATCCTGGATAGATCTGTCATTTCAGCAGAGTCTTCAACACAGGAGGGATGTGGGTGGCCTTACTGTTATGTACAAGGCCAATGTACTGTCAAAGTACCACACTTGGATCCACTTCGAGGAGAGCATGAAGCAAGCTTCTAAACCACAAGGTGGGCAGAAAGCAGCAACTTCACTCTGGCTGTACCCTTCTCCAGAACATCACTTCATCTGAGATCATTTATCCCCAGGATGACTCGAGTATGGAACACATTTGTACAGCATTATGATGTCAACGTGATAAAGTCAGTTGATCAAATGAAAATGCTGGCCCACAGATGGCTCCAACTTTATCCTGTTCCCTACTTGTATGTTTCATAATAAAATGCTTTCAATTGAGCTGATGTAGGTATCAGCTCTTAACCTGTCAATAAAGTTAGGAATCCTAGCTTTAAAAAAAAAAGAGAGAAAGAGTGTCCCTCTCTACAGGCAAAGGCAAAGAATAACAGAGATGCTAAAGGGGCCAGTACATCTTCAATATGGAAGGAGGCACTGGCCAGAGAAACAAAATATCAAATTTAAGTTAAGGAATCAAACAGGAGCCAAGAAACACAGGAAGAACTTAAAGCCAAAAATGATATTGACAAGACTCAAGAAATCGTAATGACACGATTGCAAATAAACCATACCCCCGGCCGGGATTGAACCCGCGGTCATAGAGTCTCAAAACTCCAGCCCGTCGCGTTAGCCACTAGACCAGCTAGCCACAATAGTGGCTAACGCGACGGGCTGGAGTTTTGAGACTCTATGACCGCGGGTTCAATCCCGGCCGGGGGTATGGTTTATGATATTGACAAAAACACAAAATATTTATTTTCTTATGCCAAATCTAGAGTATAAACCACATCCAGTATTGGGCCCTTACTTAAATGAGACTTACATGGATGACAGCAAAGCAATAAGTGAAATACTGAAGTCGCAGTATGACTCGGTGTTTTGTGAGCTGTTACTCAGACTAAGGGTTGAGTCTAAATGAATTTTTTAGACAGAGACTCAAAATTTGGTAAATTCAAGAATTTTTTATATAATCCAAACACCACAGGACTTAAAAAACAATAAATGAAATGCCCATGCACTCTGCCCCAGGCCCAGACTCGTGGAACTCCTGGTTCATCAAGAACTGCAAGAAACCCCTTTCACGTGCATTAACTATTCTATGGAGAAAGAGCATAGACACGGGTCATCTCACAGTCACTAAAAACAACAGACATAGTCCTACTCCACAATGGTGGCAGTAAAGCAACTGCAAAGAACTATAGACCGATTTCACTAACATCCCATATCATAAAAATCTTTGAAAAGATTCCAAGAAGCAAGATTGCCAACCTCTTGGATACCCAACAATTGCACAACCCAGGGCAGCATGGGTTTAGAACAGGTCACTCCTGCCTCTCACAGCTACTGGATCATTATGACATGGTCTTGAATGTACTGGAGAACAAACAAAATGCAGATGTAGTATACACAGACTTTGAGAAAGCCTTCGACAAGTGTGATCATGGTGTAATAGCACACAAAATGCATGATAAAGGAATAACAAGAAAAGTTGGTAGATGAATCTATAACCTCCTAACAAACAGAACACAAAGAGTAATTGTAAACAGACTGAAGTCAGAAGAGGCCACAGTGAAAAACTCTGTTCCACAAGGTACAGTACTCACCCCCATTCTTTTCTTCATCCTCATATCTGACATAGGCAGAGATGTAAATCACAGCACCGTGTCCTCCTTTGCTGACGACACCAGAATTTGCATGACAGTGTCATCCATTGAGGACACTGCAAATCTCCAAGTGGACATTACCCAAGTCTTTAAACTCAACAGTGCTTTTTACAACTTCTCTTTTTGCTTTCATTTCTTTATCCTTCTTTGGACCCATGATAGCTCATCTCAGAATAAAAAAAATTGCACCAAAACTGCAAAATAACAAAAAATGTACACAAGATGCACAACAAAAGCTCAAGAAATGTTTACAGTATGTGAGTTAGTGAGCACATGACCCAAGCCGTTCGTGTTGTTTGTCGACAACCACGAGAACATACAAAAACCAGGACATTTTTTCTCAAACCCCTCATTTGAAAACTGATTTGTTTGACAAGTAGTGCAGTTGATAACTGAGGTTCCACTGTACTGCAAACTGCAGACAAGAAGGGTAATATGCAGACACAGCAGATCAAGCCTATGTAAACACTGTCTTAATAAAAATTTCTTCTGCTATAAGTGCGTGTATAAGCTACCTGCTGACAGTTCCAGGGGTCATCACACCAACCTCATCAGCCCACTTTCAAAATATATTTTATAAACAACCTGAAAATAAATATTATTACATTTATGGGAAGGGAGGAGAGGGCTAGACCCTTGAAGATGATACAGCATCTGAGAGGCAATCAGGTTAGATCCAAGGAAAGGGAGGACAGTTCCAATTCCTTGGATCAAGAGCCTTCACTGGCATCACGGCACCTTCTGAGGGATAAATTGTATGTAAATTTCTTACCTCCTGAGTAAGACTCTGTGGTATTACTTTGCCTTCTATGTTGATTCCATGACACTGAAAAATAAAGCAATATTAAGCAAGGCAAAAAACATTATAAAACATCTACCTAATTTTTTTTTCAATGAAGTGGCTGTATCCCACCAAGGCAGGGTGACTTAAAAAGAAAAACAAGTTTTTCATTTTAAATTTAGTAATTTATACAGGATAAGAGGTTACTAGCCCCTTACTCCCGGCACGTTAGTCACCCCTTATGACACGCATGATTTACCGAGGAAGAATTCTGTTCCATTTCCCCATGGAGATAAGAGGAAATAAAGAAGAACAAGAACTATTAAGAAAGTAGAAAAAAATCCAGATGGGTTGGTATAGATGTGTGTATATACATGTGTAGTGTGACCAAAGTGTAAGTATAAGTATCACGATATATCTCTTACCCTGTGTGTATCTGCCTAATATACAGTATATACTGTACTGGCTAAGTATGGTTCTTACATATATAAATATAAAATTATAACACAGAAATATAACATATAAATCTTAATCTAATTTTAACCCTTCGAGAGTTCATCCTGTAGTTCTACGACTTTGAAGCCAGGGTCCAAGCTGTGGTACTACGTCATAAGCTCAGCACACTCAGATCAGACGTGAGCGGTAAATTTGGGCCTAGATGACAGAATGCATCTGTGTGGTAAGTGTGCACCATATAAAATAAATCCTGCATCACACAGTGCATGAGAAAAAACCTGCAACCGTGTTTATGGATTAAAACAGCAACCTTGCGGTGTATTTTCATATGGATTTTATGGTTGTATTTGCGGTTTCCCGGTCTCATTTGATAGAATGGATGATGCGTTACAGAGATATGATTCTGATTGGTTTTAGTATTGAAAATAGCTTGAAATTGAGCTTAAAATAGCAGAAACATTCGATTTTTGCAGATGTTCAAAACTAAACAAATCACATCACGTGTACAATCCATGACAGCTGGTGGGTCTAATGTGTGTTCATGAATGCGCTGATATTATTTATCAATTACAGTAGTACCTCACGTTTCAAACAGCTCCCAACTCAAACAATTATGTAAGTGTATTTTTGTAAGTGCTCCTGTAAATGTATTTTTGGGGGTCTGAAATGGACTAGTCTAATTTACATTATTCCTTATGGGAACACATTCGTTTGGTATTGGCACTCGGACAGCCTTCTGGAACAAATTAAGTTCGTAGCTCGAGGTATTACAATATTGCATAACAGTAAATCTTCTATTTTTTGGTGTGAATAAATTCTTTGAGTATAAAAAAATAAAAATGGAATTCATGTCTATAGCCTGGAAATGTAACTATTAAACAGAGGAAGTGTTATTTTCATGTTAGGAATGTCTGCATTGTTTATTCTGGACCTTATTTGGAAACGGGAATTTTGAACTTTGTGTGAAACTGACAATATTACCAACTTCCGATCACTTTATTGAGTAGTTGAAATAGTTGATTGGGCAATTTCTTGCACTCAATAGATAAAATGGAACACATAACAAGTGAAATAGGTAAGAATTTGGTCCAGTGGAACAATGTAATTGGTTGAAAATAATACTCAAAATGGGCAAAATCGCCGATATGTTAATATCACTGACAGCAAAATTCAAGAGCATAATTTCATAATTTTTTTTATTAAATTTCATACATTTTTGTTTTATTACCTTCAGAAAAAGATTCTCTATCATAAGAAATATTTCTTTTTAAATTCTTGGACCCTGTGGGGAATTTTCAAACTGGGGGCCTGGACCCTCAAAGGGTTAAAACTTTTCAGTTATTTGCCATAAAGGATATTTAGAATACACAAATAACCCGCACATAGAAGAGAGGAGCTTACGACGGCGGGTTATTTGTGTATTGTTCCAGTCACGGTATTGTGCCTTTTTTGTTATTTAAGATATTTAGAATGAGTACTTTATACATAGGTAGTAGGTTGGTCGACAGCAACCACCCAGGGAGGTACTACCATCCTACCAAATGAGTGTGAAACATAGCTAGAGTTCGTCACGGCCACGCTAGCTGGAGATTCGTCTGTAAAAACTTGCATTTGTGGTCACAGTGGTGCCTGTGCTAACCTTCCTATGGTGTAGAAATATACCTAGTTGGATGAATCTTATTGTGGCTAGCTGGTCTAGTGGCTAACGCGACGGGCTGGAGTTTTGAGACTCTGTGACCGCGGGTTCAATCCCGGCTGGGGGTATGGTCCCTTTATGACTTCCCTAAAGTGTTTCACAACAGTGTCAGTGTAATAGTCACCAGCACGGCTTGCAATAGCTGTGTTAGGGTGACTGTCATCAAAAAAGGTTTGCACTTTAAGCCACATTCCACACATTTCCTTAATCTTTGAAGTAGGCAACTTCTTCAATTTCTCTCTCCCCTCCTCCGAACCAGTTTCCTCAGGTCTGGCCTCTTGCTGTTGAAGTTGATCTAGCAGCTCATCAGTGGTTAGTTCTTCATTGTCCTCCTCCACCAACTCTTCCACATCATCCCCACTAACCTCCAACCCCAAGGACTTTCCCAATGCCACAATGGATTTCCCTCAACTGGTTACCCCCTTCGGGGTTAGCCTGAAACCCTTCAAAATCCCTTTGGTCTAAACTTTGGCCCCAGTTTTTAAAGCAGAGTTAAGGTCCTCTTGTACTCCCTCAAGTTCTATAAGGTTTACACAATTGAGGATATTAAAGGATCTCTCCAAAAATCTCTTAGATTCAATTGATTTTTCTGAGGTCACTACAAGACCTTTCAAAAAGAGCTTTTGTGCGTTTTTTGAAGTTTGCAAAAACCCGCTGGCCCATGGGTGCGGGAGGAGTGGTATTAGGAGGCAAAAAAATTCACCTTAATAAAGCTCATGCCCCCAAAAGTCGCTCTGCCACGTTTGTAGGATGACGGGGGCATTGTCTAAAACCAGGGCCGAAAGGTCTAATTTCTTTTAGTTAGGAAATCTTTACATTGGGGGAAAATGATGGTGAACCCAGTATAAAAAAAAGTTAGGACCCTTTCCCCTTCGTTTGCCCTCCCCAGCAAACACAAATTTGCCTTGAGGATTTTCTTTTGCCTGAACGCTCTGGGAGTTTCTGGTGTCATAATAAAGGTTACTTTGCAATCACCCCCTTTGGTCACACCTTAGCATTGGAAAAACATCAACGGTAGCTGTCTTTCTGGTTAGTCTGGGAGTGCCTTTTTCCTCCTGATAAGTAGGTCCCGCTTTGGAATTTTCTTCCAAAACGGCCTGTTTTTACACAATTAAAAAGATTGTTTCAGGTTTCAGTCCTTCACTTTATTACTCCTTGAATCCCTGTACTATTTTTTTTGCTGCTTTTGGTCCGAAAATGGCAGGTCACCTCCTTATCACATTGTATGCATTACGCTTCTTAAATCTCTCCAAAACCCAAAATTTTTCTTTTCCTTAAATTCATCCAAAATTTACTAGTTGCAGGCATTTTTTTTAAATTTAAATTTTTGCAACTTCTAGCCTTTTCACTTTTTGATTTCCCTTTAGGTGCTATCTCCTGCTTTGTTTTTTTATTTATCCTTACCAATAAGAGTCTTAACATCTTCCATCACTTGCGTCTTGTTTCGAAAACAAGTTTTAACCTTTGGCAAGAACAGTTGTTGATTGCCGTTTTTGTTGCCCAAATAGTACGAGGTTGATTGGGGGGTTTTTTTACAACCGGCCAGCTCGGAGAAAACGCACTCCACTTTTATTAGCAATGATCTCTTTCTTTATCTTTTTGTAAATTTCCCCCCTTTTTGCTGTAGGGTTGGCACTAGTAGCTTTCTTGGGGCCCTGGTCACTTATTTTGCAGATAAAATCACCAAAAACACTGTAATAATACGAAATGTTCCGATTGTATGCTTGGATGTTACCGCGGAGGCTGGCTGGTAAACAATGCCACCGGCGGAACATGCGGGTGGTCGGCCCCACATTAGACGCGTCTCGGACGAACAACGTTGAGCAGGTTTTTTAGCTGTATGCGAGGCAAAATCTTAGCGATAAAATGTATTGGTATGCGGATTTAACGTTATGTAATGCCAACGGTATGCGGAGGTCCACTGTAATAGCATTTACTTAGCCTAACAATACTGCTTCCTTAACCTACTGAACCATGAACAATCATAAAACACATGAAAACATCATAAAATGGTAAAATTGGTAAATATGATTGGGAGGCTGGGCATTCACAAATGTTCAAAGCTCGTGAAAGTGGAACTCGCAAAAGTGGAGGGCTAGCTGTAAATCCAATTAATCCACTGCAGACACCCAAAAGTATTAGCAAAAAATATATTTTATAGAGAATAACTAAAGTTTTCCATAGAGAAAACAATGAGAAACATATATAGGACTAATGAAATGGATAAATGAACATTTAACATCACACTTACTTTTATTGAAGACTCTTGTTGGTGTATGGAAAAGGGCAAGGAGGGGAGAGGGAGGAGAGGTTATCTCTATCACAATCACTGCACCCTCTACCACTATCACTACCAGCCTCTACCACAATCACTACCACTCTCTACCACAATCACTACCACTCTCTTCCACAATCACTACCACTCTCTTCCACAATCACTACCACTCTCTTCCACAATCACTACCACTCTCTTCCACATACACTACCACTCTCTTCCACAATCACTACCACTTCTTCCACAATCACTACCACTCTCTTCCACAATCACTACCATCTCTTCCACAATCAACTACCACTCTCTTCCACAATCACTACCACTCTCTTCCACAATCACTACCACTCTCTTCCACAATCACTACCACTCTCTTCCACAATCACTACCACTCTCTTCCACAATCACTACCACACTCTTCCACAATCACTACCACTCTCTTCCACAATCACTACCACTCTCTACCACAATCACTACCACTCTCTACCACAATCACTACCACCTCTACCACCACTGAATTTTATTGTGTTTCTCACCTTTATGAAAGGGCTGGCACTCTGAACTTTCTTTGGCCCATGGTGGCTTATTTAGCAGTCGCACTCAATAAACAAGCACAAAAAAAAAAAATGGATTATTATGAAACATTTTGGGTGAACGTGCAGGGTAATGCTCACTTGACGAGAAACAAAGCCAGACT